TGGTTCAAATATTAAATGAAAAGGTGTGTAAAAATTGGAAAATGAAAAGGTGTGTAAAAATGGAAAATGAAAAGGTGTGATTATGTGTCAATTTCGATCAAATATTTGGACTTAATCCGATGGTCAAATTACAAAAGTAAGTAGACCAACTTATTCTACTCGTCGAGTAGATCGTCGTGGTATATTTGGAATCTCGAAACCAATTCTGGATGAATGAGAAATTGCGGACCAAAGTTGGAAGAAATGAAGTGCTGCAACTTTTCGAAAGGTGCAGGTTTTGGCCAAGTGTTGCAACTTTTTTGAAATGATGCATGTTTTGACCCACACTACTTCATTTGCACCCTTTCTGCATCTATAAATAGAATCCTATGGACATGATTTTGGACACACCAATTGCATTGAGCATTCATTCTCCTTTTGCAATTCTCTTCTTTCTAATTTTATAGCATTTCATACATTTCCTTTGTAGATGATAAATTTTGTCAAAAATTCGTCGGTTTCTTGTGGTTTGAAGCGCTGCTACCACAAGTTGTGAATCCATTGTATCTTGGGAGACAAGTGTCATTCACTGTGAGCACCGTAGTGGAGCAATTTGTCTTAAGGAAAGAGATAACGTTTCACCTTAGATTATTCTCTATTTCTACTCCTTCTTAATATTTGTTTTGCGTAATCTTTATACCAAAACTCTGTCCAAATTTTCATTCATATAAATTGTGTTTTAATCACGCTCTTGCGAGTTAAAATTGGTCAAACAAATATATCAAAAATCAACTCTTACATAACCATTTTTATAAGTTGTCTCCAACAATTTTAAGACAAAATTGTGTATCTTTGTGGTTGGTTGTAGACAAACATTACTTTGTTTGAATAGTGCTTTGTGTACTATTCCTCCACCGATATTATCATCATTTTGTTGAACTTCTATTTGTTTAACAAAAATGACTACCATCGGGATTTCGTCAAATCAAAATGGTTCCAATAATGTGATACCACTCGTGGCCATACTGTTGCATAATACTACTATCCCACATGGTAAAAAGTCGGAAAAATTTGCAGGAGTAGACTTCAAGAGGTGGCAACAAAAGATGTAGGTGGCAACAAAAGATGTTTTATCTCACCACTCTTAATTTGGCTAAATTTCTAAAGAAAACTGCACCGGCTGTACAAGAAGGGAAAAATAATCGTGAATCGATTATTGCTTTGGATGCATGGAAATACTCGGACTTCCTATGCAAGAACTATATCCTAAACGCATTGGATAATACACTATATGGGGTGTATAGTTCAAAGGAATCAGTCAAGGAACTATGAGATTCTTTGGAGATAAAGTACAAGATCGAGGATACCGAAACAAAGAAGTTCATTGTTAGCAAATTTTTGGACTACAAGATGGTGGATTCCAAAACCGTAATTAGTCAAGTGCAAGAGATTCAAGTCTTGTTACACGACATCCATGCCGAGAAAATGGAATTGAGTGAATCATTCCAAGTGACTGCCATTATTGAGAAACTCCCTCCTATGTGGAGAGATTTCAAAAATTACCTCAAACACAAACGCAACAAAATGAATTTGGAAGAATTGATTGTGCGCTTGAGGATTGAAGAGGACAATCGAAAAATCGAACGGAGGCCGGTTGATCAAGATGCTGCAAATTTTGTTGAAATGGAATCAAATGCAACAAACAAGAAACAAAAGGCTCCTAATTATGCACCGCGAAGAGACAATTCCAAGAAAGATAAGAAGTTTAAAGGGAATTGTTACAACTGTGGCAAGGCTCGACATCGTTCAAGTGAATATCGAAAGCCAAAGAAGAATACTCAAGCCCATATGGTTGCAAATAACACTCTATCCGATGGACTGCAAGAAATTAGTTTATCTGCAGTAGTGTCCGAATGCAACATGACTGAAAATACTAGAAAATGGTGGATTGACACCAGCGTTACTCGCCATGTGTGTGCGGACAAGGGGATGTTCTCCAACTATCAAGAATTGAATAGGGAACAACTATACATGGGAAATTTTGCAAGTTCCAAATTTGAAGGACAAGGCAAAGTCACTTTGAAGATGACATCTGGGAAAGAACTCGTCCTCAACAATGTCCTACATGTGTCGAATATAAGAAAGAATTTAGTGTCCGGGTCTCTGCTTAGCAAGAATGGTTTTAAACTTGTATTTGTACCCGATAAATTTGTGTTGTCTAAAAATGAGATGTATGTAGGGAAAGGATACACGTGTGATGGAATGTTCAAGTTGAACGTTCTTACAATTGTACCGAAGCAAGTCGTTATGAATAAAACTATAAATTCCGTTTACTTGCTTGAGCCTTCATGTTTGTGGTATAGTCGATTACGACATGTGAATTACAAATCGTTGCGCAAACTAATGAATCTAAGTTTAATTTCGGCGCATAAAATCAATCCTAATCATAAATGTGAAATATGTGTTGAATCAAAATTGGCTAAAATACCGTTCCAATCAATACAAAGGAATACAACCCCTCTTGAATTGATCTATAGCGATATATGCGATCTAAAATTTGTACAAACTCGAGGTGGGAAGAAATATTGTGACATTTATTGATGGTTGTACAAAGTTTTGCTATGTCTTTCTTTTGAGAAGTAAAGACGAAGCCTTAGATGCATTCAAAACCTATAAGGCTGAAGTTCAAACACAACTTGAAAAACGAATAAAAAATATTCATAGTGATAGAGGAGGTGAATATGGGGCACCGTTTGAAGATTTTTGTTCTAAACATAGAATTGTTCATCAAACAACGGCACCTTACTCTCCTCAATCAAATGGTGTTACAGAACGTAAAAATCAAACACTTAAAAAAATGATGAATGCCATGTTAATAAGTTCGGGTTTACCACAGAACATGTGGGGGAGGCTATTTTAAAGGCAAATAGTCTTTTTAATAAAATATCTCTTAAGAAAATGGAAGAGACACCATATGAACTATGAAAAGGCTATCATCCATCCTACTAATACTTGAAAATGTGGGGGTGTTTGCCTAAGGTTGAGGTACCTAAGCCTAAACAAGTGAAAATCGGTCCTAAAACGATAGATTGCATATTTATTGGATACGCCAATAATAGTAGTGCATATCGATTTTTTGTACACAAATTCGAAATACAAGACGTACACGAAGGGACCATAATTGAATCAAGGAATGCGACATTCTTTGAAAATATTTTTCCTTGCAAAAATAAGGAAAATACGAGTTCTAACAAGAGAACATATGAAACTACCAATGGAACTTCAAATGAGGAAGAACCAAGGCGTATTAAAAGGGCTAGGACTTCCAAGACATTTAGTCCAAATTTTCTAGCTTATATGGTAGAGAATGATCCAAAGACTTTCGATGAAGCAATATCTACACCGGAAGCACCGCATTAGAAAGAAGCTATTAATAATGAGATAGATTCTATAATGCAAAATCATACATGGGAGTTGATTGATTTACTTCTCGGTAACAAGCCTTTAGAATGCAAATGGATATTCAAAAAGAAATTGAAAACTGACGGATCCATTGATAAATATAAGGGTTGATTGGTTGCTAAAGGATATAGGTAAAAGGAAGGACTTGATTTCTTTGATACCTACTCACTCGTGACTAGAATCACGTCGATAAGGTTGTTAATTGCAATTGCGGCAATACACAATCTAGAGATTCATCAAATGGATGTAAAAACAGCATTCCTAAACGGTGAGTTAGAAGAGGAGATTTACATGGAGCAACCTGAATGGCTCGTTTCTCCTAACCAAAAACACAAAGTGTGTAAACTTGTTAAGTCCTTGTATGCATTAAAACAGGCTCCTAAACAATGGCACCACAAGTTTGACAAAACAATGTTATCAAATGGATTCAAGATCAAAGAATGTGACAAATGTGTATATATTAAACATACACCATATGCTTATGTAATTGTTTGTCTATATGTGGAAGACATGTTAATAATGGGCAATAGTCACGAAATGTTGCTTAACACCAAAAAGATGCTAACAAAGCATTTCGATATGAAAGATATGGGTGTGGCAGATGTAATCCTAGGGATTAAAATCTCTAGAACGCAGGATGAAATTGTAATTTCATAATCTCACTATATGGAAAAAGTACTTAAAAAGTTTGACGTGTTTGAGGAAAGTCCTGTGAGAAATCCACTTGATCCGAGTATGCATTTAGTCAAGTATACGGGAGAAAGCATATCACAACTAAGGTATTCACAAATAATTGGCAATCTTATGTATATTACAAACTGCACTCGACCGGATATTGCTTTTGCGGTGAATAAACTTAGTAGATTTACAAGTAATCGAAACCGAGATCATTGGAAGACTTTGACGAGGGTTTTAAGGTACTTGAAGTATACCTCAACATATGGATTACACTTCACAAAATATCTTGCGGTACTAGAAGGATATTGTGATGCGAATTGGATATCCGATATGAAGGATTCCAAGTCCACTAGTGGTTATGTATTCACCATTGGTGGAGCTGCTGTATCATGGAAATCAACAAAGCAAACGTGCATAGCTCGATCAACGATGGAATCTGAATTTATTGCTTTGGACAAAGTTGGAGAAGAAGCAAAATGACTTCGAAATTTCTTAGAAGATATTCCATGTTGGCCAAAGCCAGTACCTGCGATAAGTATACATTGTGATAGTCAATCAGCAATTGGAAGGGCTCGAAGCAGCATGTATAATGGTACGTCTAGACATATTCGTCGTAGACACAACACTATTAAGCAACTGATCTCAAATGACGTTATCTCCATAGATTATGTGAAATCAAAGGAGAATATTGTGGATCCACTGACTAAAAGTTTGCCTAGAGATCAAATGCGTTGCCTATCGAGAGGAATGGGATTAAAGCCTACTACGTAAGAGTTTTTGCAATGGTAACCCTACCTTGTTGACTGGAGATCCCAAGATCTTGGTTCAAAGTGACAACTAAGTTGTGAAAATTCCATGAAGCACTTAGGAAATTAGAATTCCTAACTCATTCCTACGATACTAAAGTACTTTCTGCAGAGTAAATAGAGGCTAAGATTATCTTTTAATGATTCCTATATCTTGATTAAGTCAAGTAGAGTAGGGCAGAATACTCTTAATAGGAGGTCACCTATATAAGTGTGAAGTTGGGCCGCTTCGATAAGAATTGTTTAAGATTTGAATTCTTTAAACACTTATGAAATCAAGAAGGGTTCAGGGTCAAAATGAACAAAGTCATGAGAACTAAGTACAGAATAGGGAAGATATCTGTGTGAGTACTGTTGTCTTGACTTACACTAAAGGCTGAGTGGTTCAAGACCTATGGTTCACCAATTATCCGAGTAAGTCCGATAGTATTTCACTAAGGGAGGTTCAAGGCCAGAAGCCACCAACCCTGATGCAGTATTTTTTCGCACCCTTTCTACATTGCATCATATCATCGCATTTGCATATACGTACCCGAATTTCCATTCATGTGGGGGATTGTAGGAATTGGTTCAAATATTAAATGAAAAGGTGTGTAAAAATTGGAAAATGAAAAGGTGTGTAAAAATGGAAAATGAAAAGGTGTAACTACGTGTCAACTTCGACCAAATATTTGGACTTGATCCGATGGTCAAATTACAAAAGTAAATAGACCAACTTATTCTACTCGTTGAGTAGATCGTCGTGTTATATTTAGAATCTCGAAACCAATTCTGGATGAATGAGAAATTGCGGACTAAAGTTGGAAGAAATGAAGTGCTGCAACTTTTCGAAAGGTGCAGGTTTTGGCCAAGTGTTGCAACTTTTTTGAAATGATGCATATTTTGGCCCACACTACTTCATTTGCACCCTTTCTACATCTATAAATAGATCATATGGACATAGTTTTGGACACACAAATTGCATTGAGCATTCATTCTCCTCTTACAATTCTCTTCTTTCTAATTCTATAGCATTTCATACATTTCCTTTGTAGAGGGAAAATTCTGTCTAAAGTTCGTCGGTTTCTTGTGGTTTGAAGTGTTGCTACCACAAGTTGTGAATCCATTGTATTTTGGGAGACAAGTGTCATTCACCGTGAGTACCGTAGTGGGGCAATTTGTTTTAAGGAAAGAGATAACGTTTCGCCTTGACTTTTCTCTATTTCTACTCCTTCTTAATCCTTGTTTTGCGTAATCTTTATACCAAAACTCTGTCCAAATTTTCATTCATATAAATTGTGTTTTGATCACGTTCTTGCGGGTTAAAACTGGTCAAACAAATATATCAAAAATAAACTCTTACATAACCCTTTTTATAAGTCGTCTCCAACAGTCAGTACCTCATCCCATCAAAAGGGCTTCTGAATACTAACCCACATGAGATCTTAACCTAGTGACACATGAAATTGTGGTGCAGAATCCGAAAATGGGATATTCAATGCGATTTTACCAGGACATGTTGATTTTACAAGTGATCCTTGGCTTTCAATTTCAAATGGAGCAAAAGATCTTGTGAGGAAGATGTTACATTTTGATCCCAAGCATAGGCTGACAGCAGGCCAAGTGCTAAGTATGCATGATTAAATAGTAATATTCTATATGCATACACTGTAAACAGGAATTATAAGACGAATAACAAATATATTTTCTAACCCGGGTTTATTATAATGTTTTAAGATCATCCATGGATCAAGAAGGATGGAGAAGCACCAAACACACCATTGGATAATGCTGTTCTGAGTAGACTTAAAACAATTCGGAGCCATGAATAAGTTCAAGAAAGTAGCACTTCGGGTAACGACACTTTTGTTTATCCACACAATGATTTAGCTATCGTGTTAATTATACTATCCTCTAAAACACCGAAAGTCCAGCGGGCAAGAGTTGTCACAAGATAAAAGAGAAATATAAAACTATAAGGAACCATCAATCCTCTCCTCTTAGACAACTTATATTCTTTTCTTCTGCTACTTTATTCGACCCCGAGCAATCTTAGTTATTTGTGTGGTGTGTACACCCAAGCACACATGTAAACTTTTAGCTCTTCTAATTTTCTTGGAATTATCAGGTCATTGCAGGCTGTCTATCAGAAGAAGAAATCATGGGATTAAAACAAATGTTTAAAAGAATGGAGTCAATGGACACTGATACCAGTGGTACAATAACAGTTGAAGAGCTAAGGCAAGGATTGGCAAATCAAGGGACGAGATTAACCGTAACTGAAGTGAAACAATTGATGGAATCTGTAACTTTATGGAATAAAACGTACTAAATTAGATTTGTGTTTATAATTCTAATGCTTCTTGGATTTGAAAAAAACATAGGCTGATGCTGATGGAAATGGGATAATAGATTTCGAAGAATTCATTTGAACAAAATGGACAGAGAAAAGCTTCTCTACACAGCACTCCAGTATTTTGACAAAGATAACAGCCGGTTGAGCCAACTTTGTTTCTTATAAGTTCCACCTATCGCTATTGCCTATTTAATAAATTCCCATATCTCTTGAGCATTTGATTAGAAAAATGATTTCGCTACGCAAGGGCAGCATTTTGTGTTTGTGTGTGTGATCTCCTAAAGACACAAGCATTTACAAGAGACGATCCTTAAATATGTTTTTGCTAACACTCAGAATATCTTATGTTACACAAGATATATAACTATAGAAGAACTAGAGCATTCTCTACCAGAGTATGGCATAAACGACGAAAAGGACATCATGGAAATCATTTTTGAAGTCGATTCCAACAATGTAAATACTGAAGTTCAATTATCATACGTTATTACAAACGATTTCTTATCTGAAACGGTTCAACATTCCACAATTTAACTTTTGCACACTATTTATGCATTTAGTTTCTTCTCTCTTTATTCTTCTTGATAATGAATTTCTTTATATGTTGAAATGACGACTACATTATTATTATTTTGATTGTTGTATATAAGAATGATACTAGGGGTTGTTTCTTTTAATATTGTCGAGTGCTATTCACTCTACTTCATAATGATCGTTTCATATGGCAAATAAGCTATAGTTTTTATGGTGAAAGTGTAATTCCCTATGTTTTATTGCTATAAATATAATTAATTAAAGTGATTTTGTTCAATTATATGTAGATGGATGGCCGGATAAACTACGACAAATTTGTAGCCATGATGAAAAAAGGCAAATCAGAGGAAACAGGCAAACAGCAAATCCCAGAAAACGATGAGATATCTTCGTCTCATAAATTTTCAACAGTCGAACAAAAGGTAAAGACTTACAAATTCACTATATAATTTTATCAAATTCTTCATTGGAGGTAAGGCCGAATGGTTTGCAAATCTCCTTAAACTATGAATCACGGGCTAATGGTCAAAGCGAGGCCAATGAGGTTTACAGGGCTGTTAGATTGGTTGATTTAGCCCCACTAATTGTTAGATTGCTATCCACCCAATGAATATCATTTTAAATTAACAGGCGACACTTTAATGTAGAATGATGTATCAATTATTCATTAATGGACAACAAATTTTAAACAGTAGATTTCAACTCGTATCAATAAATGTACCATCCGTTGTTGTATCATGTAGCATCCATTAGGAGACTGCGCAGCACAAAAACAAACATTTCATTTTTCTTCTTTAATATAGAAAATTATTTACCAGGTCCTTGTTTCTTCACAATAATATTCCTAGCATATAATGCACTTGTAGCAGAGTTTCCAACATACCTTCATAGGAAAGGGGTAAGTGCAGATACATGCTTAACAAATAAGAAAAATATCCCAAATGTAAAAAAACCAACCTTCCAATTATATACTTAACAATAAGTTGCAACTTCACCGATCCAGCCATACAAAAGACGAACAGAGATAACAAAAAATGCTCAACGAGTTGAAATATCGAAAATCTTCCAGAAATACAAGCACCATCAAAATTCAGTTATAACATGCTAGCTCAAAGAGAGAATACTAGGTTTATTATTTGGTGAGCTGTTTGCAAGAAATTGGAGGAAGAAAAAAACCATGATTGCGGTGGTAATATCCCGAGTTCTATTTCTATCCGTGTAACCTTGAGGAACTAGTATGCCTCGAATTCAAGCAGACACTCTTAAAAGTTTATGGGATAATGTCCACACAGAATGGATCTACAAACTCACATAATCAACAAGATCACAAAGAAGCCGTCATTCAAAAAATTCTCAAACAAGACAGGCCGCTTGAATTCAATTGAAGCAGGAAGATAAAGTAGAATCAGATGGCATAATACTCTCTAGTTCGCAAAGATATTTTGTAACTCATAACATTGCTTCAAGTGGATTGCAGACAAAGGAGGCTGCATATCTGGGAAAACCATCTCACTAGGATAATATCTCCTTTAGTGTGTTATCTATATGAGTATTGATCATCCCACAAGAAGTATATGGAAATGAAAGACCTAAAATTTTGGTGGGTCCTACAATTTTTGTGTTGTTTTTATATGCATACTCCTATCTTGACACGCGCACAACTCATCCAGGGCAGTATTAATCCGTCACGCTTAGACTAGATTAGAGAGAATAAACTCAAGAACGAATATTATTTGAATGAATAACTGGTGCAAATGTCTCATCCATAAACACCGGTACACATCTGAATCCTCTAATATTCCCAACCTCTTCAGATCAAAAGCTCCAGGAAACAATTATTATTATTATTATTTATTATTTATTATTATTATTATTTTTCAATTGTAAAGCATGCTAATCAAACATAAAGGTCTCCTATAGAAATGTAGGATAACATGAAAGTCAAAAGAAAACACAAACAAATCAAGTCCAAGATTTTCTATAAATTCTTCAATTCATTATGAACCTAAATGTGAAAGCATAAGTATTTGGTTTATAACAATTATTTTTCTCCCTTTTGATTATAATTTAAACACAAAATAACAAAAATCGAATTGACGAGTCTTGAAATATACATTAGCCATAATCACTTCAACATGGTATCACTAGCACAAACTCCACCCAAAACCATAATTAATCCCTTGTTCAAAGAACCAAAATGATCTCATTCTTGTGAGGTGGAGGGGGGGGGGGGATGTAGGTTTGTCTGAACCAATTTTAATTAATACCAAACATCAATTATCATACACTATAATCTCCATTCACAGATTAAGCTATCCACTAGTCATTCGTCAAATCATAACCCCAAAGAACAAATACCAGTTTACATTAACTCCACCAAATATCATTCATCCATAGGTTCATAAATTTCACAACACAATCTGTTTTCTTTCAAGTTCAACAGTAGTTCTCGTAAGACACTGACTCGTTCATTACCCTACTTATCTTTAGATGCAGGAGTGCCAATCCCATACTTCTCCTGCAGCTTCGTGATCTCGTCCTCTTTCTTCTTCTGGTCAAACTTCTTGCTCATCTTGGCCTGCTGATAGTACAGAACAATCAAGTATCTATTCGCGACGTTGAATCCCGACAAGTGGTCGACGGCAGTCTTGGCGTCGTAGATATCCTCGTACACCACGAAGGCGGTCCCGCGAGTGTCCTTGTTGGTCCCGATACGGATCTGCCTTATCGCACCGTACTTACCGAAGATATCGTACATCTCCTCGCTCGTGATATTGAAGGGTAAATTACGCACGTAGAGAACCCGGTTCACCTCCGGCGGGAGGCGCGTGTTGCCCTTGCGGAGAGTGATCGTAGCCATTGCCTGAAAATTCGAGAAGGTTTTTGGATTAGGGCTAGGGCTGGTTTTATTTGATTTTTTACGGGTAACAAATCTGGTATGTAGGAAAGAGAAGATAGGGCGGTTAATCAAGAAACGACGGCGTTTGGACGTTTCTTTTTCAATTCAACATTTTTTTTTAATATAAAATATATTTGAATTTAGAATTTAGAATTTTAGAATGGTTTTACATGAATTGCTATATATTTAGAGTTTGTTTGTAAGTGATTTTGAGAATTGATTTTTTGACCGTTAGAAGAAAAGTGGGGTCCACCTGTAAAAGAAGAAGTCAAATATGACAATTGAAATAGTGAAATAACGATCAAAAAATTAATTTTTTTGGTGAAAAAATCGCTCTCAAACAGGGCTTTACTAAAAAAACTCACAAAAAAGTATGTATAAGCACTTGTAACCATAAGACGTGATCAAGTCACTCACCTATTTCACCTCAAAATTCTAGCCCATGTTTGAGGGGCATTATTTTTTCATTTTTAGAAGAAATTCAAATGTTATTGGACCCCCACACAACCATTATTTTTGACTTGCATCTCACAAATCTCGAAAGATCGTGCACCAAAAGTTTAAAAAAAACCATTTTTATGAGGAAATAATGCCCCTCAAAGAGGGGCTTGTAGCAATTATCATCTTCTTTACTACAACAACCAAAAAAAAAACAAGAATAAGAAAAAGTAATTAACAATTATGCGTGAAAGAATTATGTAACATTTGAAACTAATAAGTTTTCAATGGACATATAATATTCTAAATTTTGCTCAAGCTTGTGACACCCAACCCGTAAAAAGGTTTCGAGCTTATCACATGCCCCAATTTTTTTTACTCTAGGTTAAGCTTATCATAATCTAATACACGCGTGTCTCAGACATGCCAAGGTCACTCTTGGATGAGTTGATCCGATTCAACGTGACTCACTTCCTCATGTTTGGGTCCCATTTTTCAAAAAATGCATTTTTCAAAATTTATTTTCAATCATACATTCTTCTATGAAATAAATTACATATAAATTATACTTTTTTCCTTATTTTTAATCATGTATTCTAAAACAAAAAATATACATCTTTCCTCAAAATCTTATTTTAAGGGAGCTCAAAAAGCCTTTAATTCTTGACCTTTTTGTTTGTAAGCATAGCATAAAAATTTAAATTTTTAAATAGTACATAATTAGTTAGAAATAAAACTAATTATATTAACAAGTTAGTTGATTAATCATGAACTTAAGTTTAAATTATTTCGTAATAGCTCTTAAAAAATACAAAACAAATTATGTATATTATTAATTTGATCAATAAATCTTAATTCAAAACAAAGAAAAAGGTCCATGGTTTCCCTCAGTTTGTTATAATAACAAATTAAAAATAGGAGTATGGGATCCATTTGTACCTTATGCAAATGTTAGAGATCCAACTACAATTTTTTTTAATTAAAATTAAGTTTTTGGTAAATTTTGATTAAAATTATTATAATAAGGTTCAATTTAATTTATAGTTATAATTAATTGTTACTTTTAGTTGAATTTTAGCCACTGTTTGACTCTCATTTTGTGGAAATAAAAATCGGTGGAATGATTTTTTTTTTTGAAAAATGAGTGGTTAGCAAAGAAAGAACATCTGTAATATTATTTTATAGAAGATTTTGTGATTGAAAATAGAATGGAGAAAAATAAATTGTATTGAAATGGAAATTAAATGGGGCCAAAACAAGGGCTTAATCTAAGATTAATTTTCACTGAACAGGTGCTCAGGGTAGCCTAATAATGAGGAATTAGTGGCCAACAGCCGGTTCACCGGGCCAATTTTCCAAAATGGCCTTTGACCAGTGAAAAAAAAAGGCAAAATTATTTAAAACAGTGAAAACAAAAAAAAATCAAGACAAACCCAATTTTACCCCTCAGGACTTGCAAGGAAAAAGAAGCAGAAGCCGAGAAGGAAAAGTACTGTAGTACAGTCGACCCAGTCACCGACAAATAAGGAAAAACAGGAGACCCAGTTGGCCATTTCTCTCTGAAGAAGGTAAGAAATTTATACAAAAAAAAAATATGCTTATATTTTTATTTTTGGAAAAAAGTATGATTTTATATATATTTGTTGAGAAATCCTTGTGTAAATGTGAAATTTGGGTTGTTATTGCTTGGGAAGGAGTGGAGATCGTCGGAAATGGAGTTTTCCGGCGATCTCCTCGACCGGAAATGGAAGCCAGCGCTGGGCACGCCATCTGGGCGCCCCCAGCCGGCCCGGACGCCCAGACGACCCAGTTAACTGGGCCATCTGGGCGCCCTGTCCCAGTTGACTGGGCGCCTGGTGCCCAACTGGGCGCCCAGTCAACTGGGCAGCTGGACTGGTCGGCCCGGTTGACCCAGTCGACTGGGCCGGCCATTATTTTGGGCCGTGGGGTTTTTTTTTCGATAATTATTGAAGTTAATTAAATAATTATTAATGGCTTATATTGTGTTCTCTAATATGTAATTATTTATTTGAAATAACATATATATATATACATATTTAAACATTTGAAAAAAAAAAAAGAATACGCAATTAAATTTGAAAATTAAAATATCAATCAAATTATTTTTTTGCAAAGCAATTAAAATAAATTTGTAAA